ATCGACCGCTATATCGACCGACTGTCGACCGAGCGTCGACCGAGTATCGACCGAGTGTCGACCGAGTATCGACCGACTGTCGACCGAGTGTCGACCGACTATCGACCGAGTGTCGACCGCTATATCGACCGTTATATCGACCGATATCTCGGTCGACATTACCCACAGTAAACAAGATCCAAATATTTTACGCGTAACCAAAATAGAGGCCATTTATGTCTGTAAGAACGGCTGGCGTAATCGTAAAAGCTGAGAGAGGTTCAACTTGTACCTCTACGCGAGTAAAATTTACGTGTGTAAGCCAGTTAAAATTATGCGGCAGTGGAAATCGATCTTGAGTTGTTTTTCTTTTCGTTGACTCATCATCTGATGCTAAAATCCTTTTTCATTGATAGCTAATTTACTCAGTCGTTATACCAGCGGCCGGTTGTTTTTTTTAAACTTATTTTTAATTACAAATATACAATCACTGAACAGCAATGCCTTGAATAATTTACACTTAGTTACGACAGGTGTAACACCTTTTGTATCTTGTTTCCTAAGAAACTTAAAGGCTACTATGAACTATGGACAAATCCGGAGTCAGATAAGAGATATAAAAAATTTGATACACAAATGAAAATTACACAGAAAACGCTAAAAGGAAAATTAGAATAAGATAGGCATTATTTCGTCTAAATACAAAACATAAAATTAGAGATTGCAAAAAAGGCAACCAAATGGAGAGGGGAATCGGATATTTTCTTTTCGGTGGCTCATGGCTAGTTTAGGCCAGAGCCCCTAATGAGAATTCAAAAAAATAGTAGCATGCTTTTTAAGCAATCCGATCTTTTTGTATATATTAAATTTCGATCTTTTGGCCATATAGCGCGAATTTGAAGTTTCGCCGGATTTGTCTCATTTTCAGGAAATTAAGTGCCGTGAAGAGAAAAGCTGTAGCTAATAAGGTATCTTAATACTAACAAAAAAAAATGAAAATATAACATGCAGATCTAACAAATCTCGTGCTTTCTTTACAGGAATTGTAAATTCATCCATATAGATAATAATAATAATAATAATAATAATAATAATAATAATAATAATAATAATAATAACAATAATAATAATGATAATAATAATAATAGTAATATTGAAAAAATAGAGGAGGACTATTTTTATATCAACAGTCTTTGATGTCGATGGCAAAACAACAGATGTTCGGCGAGACACAGCTAAGATATCGGACCCATATACCTCTATATGACTTTCATAAACGGCCTTTTCTCCAACTACGGATTTTTGTTTGCCAAAAATTTGTGAATTGTTCTTGAAGTCTGAAGAAAGGAAGACAATATAATGCACCGAAACAGTATCGAATACACTTGAATAAATCAGCTCGCTGAGTACGTTTACTTTTAAAAATCTTTAACAAGCCTAATTCAAACAGCAATTACGTGGTTATTCCTCTGAAAGCAAATTTTTGCCAATGAAAAGCTTAAGACTACATTTCGCACAGCTTTTCTAAAGTCCCGGCTTCTTATGCAATATATAAAGGGATTAAAAGCTGAGTTGCTGAATTCTGCTAAGGCAACCCAGAACCAGTAACTGTTTATTTTCATTTTCCTGCAAGAATCAGTACTGAAGAATTGCAAAAGGGATATGACTAGACTTGGAGTCCAGCAAATTAGAAATATACCCACAACTATTCCGATAGTTAAAGCTGCTTTACGGTTCTTAAGTTGCACTAAAGTCTCGTCTGGGTTTAACGTTGTTATTCGTCTGATTTGAATGCGAACCGCCTTGAATATGTGAAAATAACAAAGGGAAATGATTACTATCGGTAACATTACAGTGATGGTTGATGCGGCAATCCAGTAGAGAGGTAATTTAAATTGATCGGTTATTACCAGTCTTAAACACGCGAAAACAACAGAGAAAAACCAGATGGAAACGATGACAGCTCGGACGCGAGACCTCGTCAAGATCTCGATATAACGAATATTGGTTACTGCTACATAGCGATCCACACTAACAGCACACAAGCTGAACGTAGTCGCCACGATGGTCTGCATTGTTAGGAATTCAATTGTAGTGGAAAGCTGATTATCACTTTTCCAGACGTTCAGAAGACTCTTGGAAACCCACAAAGGATTCATAAACAAACCGACTGTGAAGTCGGCAAATCCAAGAGAAGCAATAAACGCATTTGAAACTGTTCTTAGACTTGGTACTTGGTAAATGGCTGCTAAAATGAGTGCGTTTCCAACACATGATGTTAATCCAAGAATTGTGTTGAAGGTTGCTAACACTACAATTTCTGTGTTTGTAAGTGCTCCAGAACAGACATTTATAGCTGTTGAATTCATCCCTTGCCAGCTTCCACTTGGAAAAGTTAGCAAAAACAGGTTTTCATGTGTTAATTGACAAACTGCAGTGCATATGGTTGAATTTAAGCAAGTGCGACTAAAAGCTATTTTCCATAATTAAATAGCAAGAGCGAAAAGCTGTCTTCCATAATTAATGCCATCGAAGCAACTTGAAGATTTATTAATTTTCGTTTTTTATTTGGGCTGCAGAAGTAAATATATTTGGTGCTATTTACTCCTATCGTGTTACGGGTATATCAGCACAATTATTACGTGTAGGATTATAACAAAAAGAGGAAAATGAAATGTGCATATATTTTAGGGAGCTTTAGTTTTTGTTTTTATTATAGCCAAGAAAACAGAGATCCGTGTTCTTTCCTTCTTGTCCACCTCATAATCTTAGACAAAAAAGCGCTGCTTTGACAGTAAGTTTTCAAAATCACACCGGTTTGACACTCACCACTAGAAGATTTCAATATTGGGGTCGCTAAATGACTGCATCTCAAATAATTTGTCCAGCTGCCCGTTCTCAAAAGATATAAACCCATAATTACTCTAAACAAAGACGAGAATGTGACTAAGCGTTTGGAACTCTTTTCTCTATTAAATCTTAATAAAGTTCAGGTTACTTTCGTTGGTAGAATTAACGGTGAAGCTAGTTGATGGAGATAAAAAGAGCAAAACA